GCCCTAGCGCCGCAGACATTCGCTTTAAAAATTGTAAGAGTTTCACAGGCTCCCACGATCAACGTACCAGAAACGGTGTTTTGGAAGGATTCCGGATTATGCGGGCGCAACAGGTATGTTGACTCGCGGTGTCGAAGTCCCAAAAATGGCGATCTGGTACGATTCCGGATCGTCACAACGCAGCAATCAGGTTGACACGTGGCGTTGAAATCCCGGGAGCAATGTTTTGGCACGCTTCAGGATCTTCAAACGGTTGTCTTCCAACGAGGCAGTTCCCTCTATGGAAATAAACCGTTGCAGGGGCCTGCGATGAGGGAGCTTGGAGGTGGGGGGTCATTCCAACATCGTTGATGGCTCTTGGGTTTACACTGGTCCTCCTCCTCCTCCTCCTCCAGTTCCTCCTGCTCCCTCCTCCTCCTCCTCCTCTCCAGCTCCTCCTCCTCCTCCTCCTCCTCCTCCTCCTCCTCCTCCTCCTCCTCCTCCTCTCCTCCTCCTCCGCCAAGATATCCGCCCCCCTCCTGGCCGCCCCCGAGGCACCCGCCCGCCCCCCCCCCCCCGGCCGGCGCTCTCGGCCCGGGGCCTGCGGCGCCCGCGCCCTGCTGGGGGCCGGCAGCGCTCCCCCACGCCGCGCCCAGCAGCGGGGGCGCCCGTCGGCGGCGTCGGTCGGCGGCGTCGGTCGGCGGCGGCGGCGCCCGCCGCGGGGCTGTCGGTGTGCGGCGAGGCGCGCCTTCGGTCGGCGCGCCGTCGGCGGCGAGGGCGCGCCATCGGTCGGCGGCGTCGGTCGGCGTCGGCGGTCGGCGGCGGCGCCCGCCGCGAGGCCGCCCGCTGGTCGGCGGCGGGGCGCGCCAGCGGTCGGCGGCGGGGGCGTCAGCCGCCCGGGGCCGCCTCGAGCTCGTGGAGCGACAGGACGCGGAAGTCGCCGTCGGCGAGCGCCACTGTGGCCTCGCGGCAGGGGGGGGACGTTTTGCGAAGCACCGCGTGCGTGGGAGCGAGGAAGGGGAGGTGAGGAGAGAAAGGTCCGCCACCTTGAGGTTCCCGCTAGGGAACCCCAGCCACCTCAGCCCTCAGCGCCACCGAAGGCGGGGAGGGTGGCCGGGGTGGGGGGCGCGGGCGGGGGGGGGCTGAGGGGACGGGGAGGCGGTGCGCGCATGGGGAGGGGGCTTCTCTGCAAAGCCCAGCGTAGCTTCTAGGAGTGGATCAGGAGCGCCCGCGGTGGCTGCGATCTGGGCTGGAGTGACCTGCGCCCACGTGGCGGAGATGTCGTGCCCACCCAGGCCACTTAAGAGCACGTGCAGCCCACTGAAAAGGTAGCCCACGCAGACATAAACCACCTGAGCATCCTTTGTACCGACCCATATCCCCTTTGCAAGGGCGCCTAACTTCGCGCTTCGCGCTTCGCGAAGCGCAAAGCGCGAAGAACTTCGTGCTCTCGCGCCGCCCCCCAGGGGAGATGAGGAGGATGGGGAGGAGGCGGACACGAACCGCGAAGCACATGGCGCGAATAGCTTCGCGCCCTTGAGGGCGCCCTTGCCTTAGCAACCCCCGCGGTCATCCCATGGGGGGGGGGGGGCACAGTGGCAAGATCACGCAGTTCCTTTCGCTGGCTCTACATCTTCCCTGAGCCCAGCCACGACGCAAGAGATGCCTGATACAGGCTATCGGCGGCGAGCGAGGGGGGGAAACTGAGAAGGAGAAGGCCTTCTCAGGAGGCGGCGGGAGTTATCAGAAGGCCTCCGGCCGCCGTCTGACAGGTTTGTTCCGTTTTCGGGGAAGGCTAAGGAAACTTCTCAGGAGGCAGGGGGACTTCCGAGCCTTCTGAGAAGGCCAGCCCCTTCTCACTTCCCCCTGGGCTCGCCGCCGACTGACACAGGCTAGGGCGAAAGGGGTCGAACGGGTCGGAACCCAACGAGCAGCACCTCACCCCAGCAGAGCACACCACACCTCGACGGGCAAAACGGGAACGGCGCATGGGACGGGTCTCGGAAGCTGGGCGAGGGCTGCTAAAACCGTGGCTGCTAAAACGGCACTCCCGGAAGGAAAAAAAAACACTTCCCGGAACGAGGCGCGGCACGCGCAACAGTCCACGGGCTTCTTCCCAGAGGGACGACGACAACTTCCCGGAGGTTGGAGGTCGGCTTTAGCAGCCACGGATTTGGCAGCCCTCGCCCCACTCCCCAGGGTCAGGCCCCAACGGGACGGAGAGCTCAAAGGGGGGGGGGGGGGCACGGGGGCGGCGACGGGCGAGCGCGCGCAGAGTCCGCAGCGAGAACCCGCGCGGAGTCCGCGGACCTCTGGGGCCTCGGAGGGGTCGGGCGGCCCGGGGGTTCGCGAGCAGGCCGCTGCAGCGCCGCCCCCGGGGCGTCCCAGGGCGCTCTCTCGCCACTCAAGGCGGCCGCAGGGCCCTCCGAGTCCTCCAGATCCGCTGCACCGTGGAGACCTGCAACTGTCCTGCTGCCACGGGGAGCGCGGAACAGGGAGCGCGGGAGCTCTTCTGGCCACGACGGGCCTCGGCCACAGAGAGGTGGCCCGACCCAGCTCTGAGGGTCGGCCCGAAAGCAGAGCCACTCCTGAGCCCAGGGTGGCTCTTTTTGCTTAGCGACTTGACCGTAAAGCGACCTCGCCACCCCGTAGATCCTCCAGAACTGCAGGCTCTTAGAGATCCCAAGTCCTAGCAATCCGCACTCAATGCGTCTGAGTCCTACCGCCTTCTGAGAGGGAGCGTTAGGGTGACTGGCTCAGAGGGTCTCTATCGGCGATGAGCGGGCGATTGGCGGTCGAGCCTTCCCGCCTAATGGTGCCCCTGATCTTAGAGATTCCAAACCCAAGCCACCTGCAACCGACTTGTCTGAATCCTGTCGTTATCGACCGAGGGAGGAGGAGGAGGAGGAGGAGGAGGAGGAGGAGGAGGAGGAGGAGGAGGAGGACGAGGAGGACGAGGACGAGGACAAGGAGGAGGAGGAGGAGGAGGAGGAATCCTGTCGTGCCGTCCGCGGGGGCGGCCCGAGGCGAACGATCCTCGCGCCCCGCGAGGGCCCTGAACGACGCGCAGGCTGCTGGAAAGCAGCCCCGGGCCCCCGAGCGGAGTCCCCAAGAAGTCCTTCTCCTCCTCCTCCACCTCCTCCTCCTCCTCCTCCTCCTCCTCATCCTCCTCCTCCTCCACCTCCTCCTCGTCCTCCTCCTCCTCCCTCCTCCTCCTCCTCCTCCTCCTCCTCCGTGGAGCCCCGAAGCCTTCAAATAGCATGCGATCACCTCCGAGTGCCTCCGAAAGCCTCCGAAGACCACTGGCCCCCAGAAGCGGTAACATCCGAAAGCATCCGAGAAGGCCTTCCGACAGCCTCCGAAAGGCATCAGAAAAACATCCGAGAGCCTCCGAAAGACCTGCGACAGACGAGAAGCCTTCAGACGACCTCCGAAGACCTCCAAAGCCTCTGACGACCTCCGACGACCTCCGAAAGCATCGGACACCTTTTGAGCGAAAACTCCGAAATTATCCAGGCGTCCACAAGGGGGGTTCGCAAATCATGCCCAGGTTTTTTGAAGTCGACCCTCCTTCAGCCTCATGTGCCTCACACAAACGGCGACTCTGTGTGAGAAACGCACCATACACTGCAAGCGATCTGGACGACGAGCAGTGCACAGGCTTTACAAACGACATAACTATAACGTATTGACGTCCAGGGTAGCTCCAGGCTTCTTATACGAAGGATGAAGACCTTTCTGCAGACGACCCCACATATTGCTTTGCGAGACAACTCTGTGTGGCTCGCATTTCTTCCCCAGGCGATCGAAACGACCCCCCGAGGTGTGGTAACCGCCATTGTGGCGGGTACAAACGCGACTGCCATCCGGGAGCAATCCATTAACACGCACCGATGGCCCAGATTTCGGAGCACCGAGGGCTGCAAATACAGCACACACGAGCAAATACCGTGAGGTCGGGCATGTCCTCCTACTGGCGGATTTGGAGAGAAAAATGAAAAGTAGTCAAAAAGTACCCCAACATGGACAACGATAGTCAAAAAATCGTCCCCATGGGGGCTGCGCCAGGGCACGGCGGGCTGGAATACGCGGTCGTCGTGGTCGTCCACTGTCGTGCCCAGCGCCGCCGCCGCGCATCCGCTCTCGAGTGCACCGCGCATGGGCGGGCGCTGGCCGTGACCGTTGCCTGCGCGGTTTGGGTGGCCGCCGGGGGACGCTCGGCGGGGTCGGGCAACCCTCCCAGAGATCCAACGCATTGAAAAAATCAAGACGGGGGCTTTTCGCAGATTTCGGCCCCTCGGGGCCCTCCGCCGGGCCTCGGGACCGTCAAAAAACGACTCGGGGTGAAAAAGCGGTCCTGGGGAATGGGTCGAGATTTCCGGGGTCCGCGTATTCTGGGTAGTTGGCGCCAATCTGGCAGGCCCAATCTGGCAAACGGGGGCCATCTGGCGAGGGAGCCAACGCGAATCCAGTCTGGCGAATAACCCAAATCCTCCAGTATGGCCAGGCCAGATTGGCCCCTGGGGCCCAATCCAGTCGGACAGTCTGGCCTTCGACTACCCGGGTGCTGAGAAAATCACCGACGTCGGACCTCTGGCCCCCAGACCTCCCGGGGGCCCACGCCGTGAGAAGGCCACGGGCGCCGGAGCTCTCCTGCTCGCCCGGAGCGGTCTGCGGGGGCGGCCCTCGAGCGGCCCTGGCCCGTCTCGGGGCCGCCCGGAGGCCGAGGCGGCGCCAGGGCCCGGCAACCCACGGCTGCTCGATGCGGTGCAAGCGTCAAGGCTTTCGGGCGTCTTCCTCGGCTCTCGGTGGTCTCCCGAGTCTCGGGAGGCGTGCCAGCAGTTGCGCCTCAGGGGCGTCTCGGGGTGCCCGGATCGTCCCGAACGGCCGCCGGCGAGCCGGACTATGACCCGACAACCAGGCACCACTCCGGATCTCTGACGAGATGACGATTCAAGCGGCGCGTGTTTCGTCGATTTGGGCCCCTGGGGCCCGTTATCGTTAGAAAGTCCAGGGTTCGCTAGGGACTGGCTTCCTGTCAAGACCGCCGAAACCCTCCCGAAACCCTCCGAAAACCCTCTGGGAAGGGTTCTGGGAGACTTTTCGGATGGTTCCGGGAGGGTCTTGGAAGGGTTTTCGGCGTTTCGGGGGGGGAGCCGGTCCCTTGCGAACCCTGGGTTATCAAACGTTCTCGTACCCTATGGGAGAGGGTGGTTTCAGTGTCGTGAGGTGCACGGGAGGGCGGGCGGCAGGCCACAGCAGTGTCTCACGTCCTCTGATGTGCACATCTGGTCGTTGCAGTCTCTGCTCCCCTCCCTCTCCGCACCTCCGTCGTCGACGTCGTTGTCTGCTGTCGGAATTTGTGCTTCCGTGAGGGTGGTTGCCGTCGCCCTCCGTCCTCCGTCGCCGTCGCCCTTGTCCTGTTTGGTCGTGGCCCTTTGGGCGTGGCGTGGTGGAGGGTGCACTGGCGCCCCCCCCCTTTCCCTGTGGGTGTGGGGTGGTTCGCCGTCGTCGTCCTCCGTTGCGCGGTGGAAGGTGCCAGTGCACCCCACCCTCCCCGTGGGTGTGGGGTGGTTCGTCGTCGTCGTCGTCGTCGTCGTCGTCGTCGTCGCCGTCGTCGTCGTCGTCGTCGTCGTCGTCGTCGTCGTCGTCGTCGTCGTCGTCGTCGCCGTCGTCGTCTCCGTCGTCCGTCGTCCGTCGTCCGTCGTCCGTCGTCCGTCGTCCGTCGTCCGTCGTCCGTCGTCGTCGTCGTCGTTGTCGCCGTCGTCGACTTCGTCGTCGTCATTGTCGCCGTCGTCGACATCGTCGTCGTCGTCGTCCGTCGGCGTCCGTCGGCGTCGGCGTCGTCGTCCCCCACCCCATCCCATCGGGGGGGGGCGTGTAGAACCCTGGGGCCCATCGCATCTGGCGGGCGTCCTGTGTATGGCGTGGCTGCCCCCCCACAGAATTGGAGCGGCGCGAAAACGACATGGCTGCAACGACCGGGCGACAACCGAATGGGCGGAAAACCGATCGGCCGAAACCGATCGGGCGAAACCGTCTGGCGAAACCGTCCCGGGCGAAACCGTCCCGGGCGAAACGGACCGGGCGAAACCGACCAAGCAAAAACCGTCCCGGGCGAAACCGACCGGGCGAAACCGTCCCGGGCGAAACCGTCACGGGGCGAAATGGACGAGGCGAAACCGTCATGAGCGAAACCGTCATGAACGAAACCGTCCTGGGCGAAACCGTCCCGGGCGAAACCGTTCGGGGAGAAACCGTCCCGGGCGAAACCGTTTGGGGCGAAACTGTTCGGGGCGAAACCGTCCTGGGCGAAACCGTCCCGGGCGAAACCGTCCGAATCGAAACCGTCCAAGGCGAAACCGTCCCAAACGAAACTGGTCCCGGCGAAACCGGTCTGGGCCGCAACCGTCCTGGACGAAACTGACGGGCCGAAATCGATCAGGCGAAACCGTCCTGGGCGAAACCGTTCCTGGCGAAACCGTCCCAGGCGAAACTGTCCCGGGCGAAACCGTCCCGTGCGAAACCGTCCCAGGCGAAACCGTCCCCCGCGAAACCGACAAGGCGAAACCGACACGCGGCGAAACCGTCCCGGGCAGAACCGTCCTGGGCGAAACCGTCACCGGTCGAAAGGACTGGGCGAAACGGACCGGGCGAAACGGTCACTGGGCGATACGGGACCTTTCCCCAGCTGATACTTTTCAGGGGTGTTGATGTTCGGCCAATCGCCCCATCCTCCTCGGTAAGACTTCCGGCTGCGCGCAGACCGCCCCCTCCCACAAAAAAAGTCCCCGAAGGCCAACAGGCCCCCCGAGTGCTCCAACGCGGTCTCAGCACCTCAACCCTGGGGCGCGGGGCGCCCCAGGGGCGCCGCCAGAGGCGGCGCCAAGGTGTTGAGACCGCCCAGACTACTCGGGGGGGGCTTGATGAGGACAGCCAGTGTGGAGGGGTGGGTGGGGGGGGGGGGGCTTTCTGTGTGCATCACCGAAGCCCTACCATTCCTCCTCTCAGATGTCCGATCGCATCGGCGGGGGGAACTGCACTATCCAAAAAGTTCGGGCTGCCCAGATCCACTCCAAGCCGCTTGCTCGCCCAGCCTTGCTCCCAACCCCCTGGCTCGCCCCTCCTCACTTGCCCCTCCTGAGACAGAACCTGTCGTTGGCCGAAATTGTCGCCTGCCATACCAAGGGTCAGGACTCGTAGCAACTTGCTTGTGCATGTGCCGCTTGCGAATCGGCCTAAACAACAATATTATAGTCCTACTACGAGATGTTCTTAGAACAGAATAATCTTCTCATAACAGGAACGATGTTCTTAGAACAGGAAGCCCGTGTCTTAAAACGAGACAGCCCCATCCAGAATTGTCACAAGAACATGTCTTGCAAACCACAAAAAGTCTTAGAACGGTCTCTGGTGGGCCTATGGGCAAGCCAGGACGCCTCGTCACCGCTTCACGAAGACGGCCTCCGAGGTCGAGGAAGCCGCCCGGATGGAGAAAAAAACAAAAAAAGGTCTGAAGCA